TATGTTATTTCTGGCTGTTTGTTTGTGTCAATATATAATGAACTAACTATTTATTTATAAAACTTTGGAATATTATAATTTCCAAACTACATTGCTGGATTACTAATTAATGAGAACCCTTAATTTCTCGAAGTATGTCAGTGGGTTGAAGTCTATAGAAAGATCTGCTGGTTTGTGTTGCAACACATAACATACAGAGGTCGTTATCCTCGCAGTGAAAACAGTGACACAGTTTCAGCCAGTATTGCATTGCTAGATGATGAAACAAAAGTTTTTTTTCGAAATACTTTTTCTCTTTAGGGCAAAAGAAGGACATGGGATAATAAGTAACAACATCTTATTTATAATATAATTCTGAGAACCTGAAACATCACCACCGAAGTGAGAAAGATACTTGTGCCAGTCATCAAGGATAAAGCTGGGAAGATTAATGGCATTGATAATTACAGACCCATTGCTTTAGCTAGCATTCTCTCCAAAGTGTTGGAGAAAATTCTGTTGGATAGGCTGGAAAGGTAAATTACCACAGCTGACAACCAGTTCGGTTTTAAAAGAAAACACGGCACATATGTGTATTTTTGCTTCAAAAGACATTATAGCAAAATATAGAAGCCATAATTCCACCATGTTTCTGTGTTTTATTGATGCTTCCAGGGCATTTGATCGACTGAATCATTACAAATTATTTGACAAAATGTGCCAGAGAGGGGTACCCAAGTATAATAAGGATCTTAGCCTTTTGGAATGCACATCAGACTATGCATGTGAAGTGGGGCAATACTGTGTCTGAACATGTTTATGTTGGTAATGGGGTCAAGCAAGGTGGGATTTGATCTCCTTTGTTGTTTAATCTGTACATGGACGATCTGTCGAGGAAACTGAACTTGTGTACAACTGGCTGTGTCATCGGAGCTACTGTTGTCAACCACCTTATGTACGCAGAGGATTTAATCATCTTCTCCCCGTGCAGTGCTGGCTTGCAACAGCTTCTGAGGACTTGTTCCCAGTATGGCATTGATTTTAATATTAAGTATAACGCCAAGAAGAGTAGCATCATGATTGTGCGAAGTAGAGGATAAAAAGGCTGTATTTCCTCTTTTTATTCTCAGTAGCAACATTCTACTTGTGTGCAGTGAGATGAAGTGCCTTAGTCATTATATTTCTGATGATCTCACAGATGACAAAGACATCCATAGACAGCGCTGCAAACTGTATGCCCAGGCAAACATATTAATGCGGAAGTTTCACAAGTGCTCTGTAGATGTCAAGGTATCACTTTTTAAAGCTTTCTGTACACCATTGTACACGGCTCACCTGTGGAGTAACTACAAGGCTAGAAGCATGCAGAAACTAAAAGTAGCATACAATGATGCCTTACGGTTGCTGCTGAGGGTACCAAGATGGCACAGTGCCAGCCAGCTGTTTGTTAACTTGAGGGTACCTGTCACGCCCTTTTAAGAAAGTTAATGTACAAATGCATGTGTCACCTAGAAGACTCTAACAATCATGTTATCTCGATTTTAATTAACGCTGTGAAGAGTTCTACTCGGTTCTCTTCCATGATTTGGAGACATTGGCGCAACAGCCTCGACAGACAGTGAGCATGTGTGGCTCGCTGTGATTGGACAGATTTTATGTTTTTATCTGTGTGTTTTTATCTGTTTTGTGTTTAGCTTTGTATCTTATTGATTGATGTGTGTTTTGTCTTGTTGTATGTGATATGGACCTTGAGTCTGGAATAAAGATTGGAAAAAGAGGCTACTGGAAGCCTTTTCTCAGTCAATCTGTGCCATGCTATCAGAGTTATTTTAAAAAGGCTATAGTTAAAATGATACATGTGGAATCGTGAAAAAGGTTACGATTAGTGATATAATGTACAGTCAATCTCAGTTCCCATAATCCGGGGAATGCGGCTTTATAGGTGCTCATTAAGTCCCTACAGAAATACAAATCCATCTGTGCACACACTTCTATCAAGCTGCAGGTTTTATTAAAATCTGATTCATGGCCACATTCATATGCACACAGTCCCCGCACATCATGTATCCAAAAGGCAGATCACATTTCAAAACCACCTCACATATGAGACCATAATCTATATCCGCTCCATATGCATTTGTGGGTATATCAAGGCACCGCAGTTTGCATTGGCCCATGGTTACCATAGTAACCTCAGATGGCTTAGCAGAGAGCGGTAGGTATTTGCTGTGTAGATGAGGATAAATCACCAATAAGCTATTTTGGTGCTCCTCTGCCTTTTCTCTTACACACTCTAAAGAGCATTCCCAATCCTTGACCTCAACCTTCTGTCATCATTAAAGCGGCAGATATCATGCCCTCTGTCATGCTTAGTTTAACATCCAGATGGTTCACAGGTTTAGCTTGCAACAGGCACGAAATGTGTGAAAAGCGCCTGCATCAACCTAAATATTCAGCCGGGGGCGGCAGATAAGAGGAGTGGAGAAAGTCTGACTTCAAATTGATCACCGCCGTGAGAATAATTCAGTAAACATGAGCATAGTGTGTGCTGCATGCTGCTAGTGTCATTCTGCATGATTTCTGGGTAATGCAGCTTGAGATGATGAGCGGGAGTCAGAGGAGATGGAGTTTGAAATCAAAACCCAAGTTTGTTCACATCTGTCTCCTTGTCAGCCGAGGCAGATCTGAGATGTATTGCTTGATCGCTGTGAATCTCTGCTGTCTTTGGAAACAAGACGTATCGTGTTGACAAAATGTATCATACACTATTGAAGACTACAAGAATCCTAAATGAGAAAAACAAAACATTTTGCAGCACATTTACTGTTCAAACTGTGCCCCATATGGCTGCTACGAGATGACGGATTTACACACTTGAGTAATTAGTGATAGTGGAGGAAGTTGATTGATTATTTGGCTAGTGCTAGATTACAGACTGTAAATCACTCCTTTCATATGGTGAAACATGCTTTTTGTATTCCTTAATCCTGAACACTAAGGGCAATGCTTCTTATTTACTAACTGCCTTATGTAACAATGTTATATAAGAAGTTCAGTACTTGCGTTTGAAATGGCTGCGGTGTTTATGCTGACTTAACCTGTTTACCTATTAGCTGCCCAATAGAGCGTATAATGGGTATAGGTCCCATACAGTACATTAATACATAATGCTGCATTATAAAATACCCTGTAATTGCAAACTGTGTACATTGTAAATGTGCCTTAAATAATTTAAAGGTTGACTCTGATCAGTTACAACACACTGAATATTTGGTTTCATTTAATTAAACAATACTAATTAGAAAGGCAAGTGAGACTGAGCTGGATTTCTGTGATAGATTAAAGTCAAGATTTAGTGAACACAACTAAAGAAATTAGGAGAGGAAGCAATCTGTAAAACTACTAAGAGTAAAAACAGAGATATGGATTAGAAAACGTAGATATCTTTGTTTCTTTTTACTACACTTGTGGAATTACTTTGTAAAGAAAATACACACCTAAAAAACCTTAAAATAATGTATTGATGTGCTGATGCAAGTTTCAAAACAATCTCAGTCAGTGCTATACCTGTGGTGTCTCATCAATTGTGTTAGTCGTGTTTGTTTTATTCCAAGTCTAGTCAGGTTTCTATGTAGAGTCAGGTTTTCTTGTTACTTCACATCTTGTCAGTCATCTCTAGTCAAGTCCCCATGTTTCATGTCATGTCTCGTTTTCCCATTTCCTGTTTTATTTTGTACTTACCTCTTTCCTTTCAGGTCCTGTTACTTCCTCACTTTGGGTGTTTTTCCGCCATCGTCAGCGTCTGCCCCGCTCCTGATTGTTTCCACCTGGTCCCTATTCCCTCATGTTTAAATAGTTCTTGTCTCCCTTTGTCTTGTGCCAGTTCGTCTTGTTTCAGTGTGCTTCTATGTCCAGAGACCCAGCGTTAAAACCAGAGAGGAGAGTTTTGTTTGTTTAAAATCAAGAAGTTTTGTTTTGTCCTCGCAAGAGCGATTTTTTGTTAAAACTTTGTTTTATTTTTTCTCATTAAAATATGAGTCGTCGCATTTGAGTCCAGTATTTTTGTACCCTGTTCTAACAATACCACATTCTAAGAAACTGTACATCCTCCTCTACTATGAACATTAAGGTTAAGTGGGGAGCGAACTCAACACGGAAATGAAAACAGACACATTGATCAATGCAAAGCAACACAACTCCACACATGTAAGAAGTTTGGATGGACACACATAAGCTCCTACTTCATTTCAAACTGTTTCACAACAATCATCAGGAGTGTAAGAAAACATTGATATTGTGTTTTGTGATACTGAATCATTTCTTACAAACAGAGTTTTCAAAAAATGTGAAAATATCGCAATATATTGCCCTGCTTATAGCTTCTTGCCAACACACAGCCCTAGCAATCATAATGACTGATATGTGGGAATGCAGAGGCGCACCGTGCGCACACATTGCTCACACGCAAGAAGGAAATAACAAGGAATTATTGGTGTAAAGACCCTTCAGGTTGGAGTGAGAGAAAATGTATTTGTGAGGAAATGGAAGAAATGGATGATTTATGACACAGTGGGAATTGCAAGTGCACTATCTGATATACCACCATGGCGGTTTGGTTTCTATTCACACAAGACTAGGCAACTCGTTTCGATTAAACCATGAATCAATTGTTTATCTTGATTTAAAAAAGACACAGTTTCTCTTTAATGATCAATAAAGTGAAATCCGCGCTGTGTAATGCAGATACTCATTAGAGCTGACCAGAGGCAGCTGATAAACAACAGCACTCGTACGGCAAAGTAAAAGCTATTCCTTAGTGAATTAACTGCTAATGAGAGAACACCTAACACGCAGCTCCACATCCACTAGGATGCAAAGTGAGACCTATCATTCTTCAGCAAACACACACACACACACACACACACACACACACACACACACACACACACACACACACACACACACACACACACACATTCCCTCGAGCAAGAGATAATTGTGTGGTCTGCAGCATTACTTACCTTCCATTGCATACTTCATATCCAGGGCGAAGAGGCTCCACATGATCTCGGCGCTGGTCTTGCCGGCGTTCAGCTCCTGCGGAAACCTGGTGGAATAGAAACGGATTCCAATCAGACTCATTTCCCTATAATGACACGCTCCGCTGGGCGGCCTGATGGCTCGGCCCAGCCTGAATCTCTAACAAACCACTCTAACAGTGCATCGAGACATGGGTGGGGAATCTCATAATCTAATAATCCCCCATTATTTGAAAACCTGGTTGAATTTGGGAGAGATCGAGATGTGGGGCTTTAAGATTGGAAAAAGTGTAGGAGGAAGTGACAAAGCATAAGAAAAGGGAGAGTGAGGGAAAGGGCGGCAACCTATCTGCAAATTAATCTGCTATTTTGAATGCATATGGATTTGTCAGTCAAAGTTTGAATGTGAGGTGTCAATGGTTTAATTATCCGTATCCTCAAACAGTGATGGGAGGACATTTAAAGATGACAGGGCACGGCCTGAGAGAGGTGATTATCTGGAAGTGTTTTACTTTAGCCAGAGACCATTCTGTGTACAACAAGATATCATATTTAACCGACAATCTTTTAAATGAAACAGTGATCATCTGCTCAGACTGGACAAAAAGTATAATGCCAAAGCATGCCTGCAAACACACACACACACACACACACACACACACACACACACACACACACACACACACACACACACACACACACACACCTTCCTCTTTCCTCTCCAATCTTTGGCACATCCATTTATGGAGGGAAGGAAGATTTAAGCTCCCATCGGCAATTGGACAGAAAACAAAGACTCCAGAAACAATTGCTCCCCCTTTCATCTCTATCACTCTCAAAATCTTTTTCTCAACTTCTGTGTTTTCCGTTGTGATCTTCCACACACACATAGTGCGCTGTGGGTGGGGCAGACACACATCATAATAGCAGAAATGTAACATCTGCAGCTATTGTTTACATCCGCCAGATGAGTATTCGTGAGAGTAATCTCTAAAGCTTCTTATCCTTTACATTTCAAAAAACAACGGCAGCATCCAATTGTATATTTCTAATATATTCTGTAGATCGGTCTATTGTCTAAAAGATATCTAGGCTACAGTCCCAAGTAAACATCCTCATGGTCAGGGAAACAGAGTCACATATGAACAGTTTTCCCTCGGGCAGCAGCTCCCATTATTTAAAGGCAGCAAGTCTACTCCGGGGTTTATTGGGAAAAGGAAAAGGAAATGCTGTCACTCTGTAACTTGACCAGGGGAATGTGGAGGAAATGGGCATGAATATTGCAAATCTATCATTAGACAGTGTAGGAGAGAAGGCTCAGGGCATACACAGAGTGTTAATAAGCATCGTAAATCGAGAGGAAGGAGAAAAAGAGGCGAGAATGAGGGGATGTATGTGTGAGCGAGACGAAGAGAGAATAATATGTTTCATCTTATTTCTTCTAATGTGAGCTCCACAAGGAAGGAAGCAAACACAAACACCCCCTCAGCACCACCACCACAACCAGACCTCTATCCCCCTTTTCTAAAAACAAATCCTTCATCTGTTATATAACTCCGCAACACAGCAATCCCATTTTATCCATCCATATTATGGCTCACCATAAAACAAAGCATTCCTTACGGTTGGCTTCTCTGGCTGCCTCACAGCCTTATTGCGCAACACTGCGCTCATTCATGTCTCCACAAGCAGTAAATACTTTTTTTTTTTTTTTAATCTACAGGGATGGTTTTTCTTTGTTCTCCTTCAAGCCCGATTTGCCTTTAACTCAACCAAATCAATACAGAAATACAGTAAGGAAGGAATATTGAACAAATCAGTACATATTTCATCAATTGAGCCTTACATTTTGTATTTATTCATCTTAGAGTATATCCACATCAAACACTTTTACACTGATACTTCCTTTCAAACCTCCTTTCAAGCCAAACTACTCATTGACCATTTTGTCACGAATGGTTGAGATTAAACCCTATGAAATGAAGCTTAAGAGAGAGCAGTGAAAACTCAGCCTGCATTTTAGGAGAGTTTTCAGTAAGGTCATTTATACCTCTGAATTCAAATAGAGGATAAATGGTAATATGTAAATAGATAACACGATGATCAGATGAGTAATGAGAAAAACCAAACAGCTTACGACCATAACTTGGCATAGTAACGAATGACGCTTGATAAGAAGCATAATAAAGGAGTACACACTGGTTAATGACTGGGGTGTAAGCTGTCCGGTCCTCATCGATCACAGACACCATGAGAGTGATGAGTTTTGGCCAGAAGTCCAGGTTCTTTATAGACGGACCCTGCTCCTCTCGGGGGATGTCCTGCTTCCGGCTCTGCAGAGGAGAAAAGAAAGATGGTGGGAGACTGAAAACTGTTTTGAAATATTGTCTTCAGTGTTATGGTAAACTGTTTCCTTGTTTCTTTCTGGCATTGCCAATGGAGTTGCTGTAATGCTAAATACACGTCATACTTGATCTGACAATAGAGCAACATCATATCATAATGCAGATATGAGACCATTAACATTTTTGGATTCAGCTAAAATAGTAAGGGATGAAAAAGAGGAAGCCAGACAAATATGAAAGTAGTAACATACTTTTCAACACTTGAATATATATTGCATATCATTATAGTATCTCTGTAAGACATCTTTATGAAAGTGATAATGTACTTGCAGTTCATTTAAACTGAACTGAATAAGTTAGTATTATGTTACATGTTGACAGTGTAAGGACAATACAAACAACACAAATAAGCCTTAATCATAAAACCAGATTACAAATGTTATTTCATGAAATCAAAGCAGTTTTTTTTAATCCTTATCTTAATTGATCATACATTTTGATTCTGTGAAGATCAAATGCATTAATATGAATGTGTTGGTATTGGAAGCTTCCATTCCCTCATTAGATTAAAATGACTGCCACACTTATAAGCGATACACAGAGAATACAAAGTGCATGTAATCGAGCATTACCATTTAGAGTTTTATTTTATTTTAGTTTTATAGAGTAACAGAAAAAGAAAGAGCAGACACAATCTGAAAAGCTTTCCACAACAATGTGAGTTTGTTTAACTGTTCCGGAACAGATACACCCAAAACAACAGGATTTACCAGGACTGAAATGTTGAGCATTTCAGTTTGAAAAGTGTAATCATCCATCATGTGTGTGTGGGTGTGCGTCAAAGTGTGAGGCAGAAATCTCCGTGGCTGCCCTGGGGTGATGCTTGTTAAATATGAAATCTTTCCCTGACCCTGCCATCTGCTCACCCCACACTGAGTGTAACCATACTGATCTGCAGTCAGCAAGTTACTGTCACAGAGTCTCGCTCTGACGCTAACAGGTTCTGCAGAACACAGGCTAGGCCGTGCACACACACAAAACATAGAGCTTACTGGCAGCTCTGTTTCATACACACACATACAAACATGCACTTATGCACACTGACAATTACATAAAAATGAGAAAATGTGTATTGCATTCTCTTGGGAGGCTGTGTACCCACAGTCCACTGTTATAGGTTACAATGTGATCTACATACCCTCTTTGACAAACCCTCCCAAGAGCAAGCAATACACATTTTCTCATTTGTGTATGGAACTCTAAAGCAAAATGTTTACTTGATGAATGCTGGTAAAGGGAAATTGTGTTAAAAATGAAACATGTTCCAATCAGTTATTGAATAATTTAGGTTGAATTATTTAACAACCTTAGGCCTATTGACTTTTTTGCAGCACTGACAGCAGACGCTGTAGCGAGAGCTTGAAATATACCATTGATTCAACCCTTAAAACCTAGTCAGTTCCTACAATGATCAACTTATATCAGATGACGTTGATTGTAGTCTTAAATATCCTGTGATGCAAGGCACACATTGCAGCTGGAAGAACGACACAATCTAATCTCACTGCAACAAGAAAGACAAATACGGCGTACAGCTGATTCTGCGACAGTAGATTGTGTGAGCCCAGGGTTCACTGCTTTAATCATTTGGGTTTGCAAAAGTAAAATCCATCCTCGTGTGTGCCATCGTCAGGAAAACAGATTAATAACATGGGCGGTTCCATCCCGGACATCATATTGATCAAAGCTCATGAATTTGTCATTTACATATTCCCATGCTTGCTCTGTATCAACACATGAAACATGAACCAGTTTCCAAAGTGGAGGCAAAAGGGAGCTCCATTTGTAACGTAGTCAAAGGCTGTGTTGGGTATTCAAGCTAAACGCATGTTAACCTTGATTGAGTAAACATCTACACATGCATTAGTAAAACTGGTATAGAAACATCAGTTAGTGTGATCGTAAATTAAGGCAAGCATCAAAGATTGATCTGCTTGTTCCATCAATCACACAATTCAAAACATTGAGAGGTTAACAAGTGTCTTGTAAAAAGCAAATGAGCGATTTATGAGTTAAGATCAATTAAATAATAAATGTCGGCGCTGAACTCATCGTTAATGAAATGACGATGCGATGCTTACTTGGAAGGAGAGGTACATCAAGGGGAGATATGCTAATAAATGCAACAAGGTACATTTCTGGTTAATTGGAGCCATATGATAATAAAACAAATATCCCTGCAGGAGGTCACTTGGCTATGCAAAAATCTGTCGATGGGTGTATCCTTGTGCGTGTGCGCGTGCATGGCTGTATGCATATGAAGGACATTGAAGGTTGTGTCATCCCTACTAAATTGAAAGCGATATGCAGCGAGCTAAAATGTAGTGTAGACTCCCATAGCTCATCTGTATTCACCTCAAGTACACACACATGGTTAAAGGTGATTAAGTGTCTTGCTGTCTTTTTACAGCACACAACATGGGCTTCACTCTCACTTGTACTAGGAGGTGAATACTGTCCTGAACTCACTACTCCCGGTGAATGGTGGTGGAGGGGGCACTAGCAGAAATATTCAGAGAAATGCATCACTCCTCTAGAGAGTAGTGCTTTATGGTTATTGTTTAGCACTTTCAGTCCCTGTGTGGGAGAAATCAGCATTACCATACAACTGGCTCATCATTTCTCACAATGTGACACAAATCTCTGATTGAAGGATGTTCTTGGAGAATGGAAAAATCCCAAGAGAAAGAGCTGCGCGGCGAACTGAAGCTGTATTTAAAGGCCCAGAGACAAAAAGGTTGTTTGTTCAAGAATTGTATGAAAGGATATACTCAAAGGACAAAACAGCATGCTCTTTAAACGCAGTCATCAACCAGCTGGGTATTGTGCGCAAATATGTGATCATGGCGATAAGAGCGAAACTTATCAAATCAATTGGAATCGCCTGCTCAGTAACAAGTGGAGGAGATCTCACAAAGTAGATCCCTTCTTCTGCATACCTGTCAACAAACAGCAGCCTCCCTCTTCATAACCAGATTGCTTCTATTCATCTGCCTACTTAAGCATGGGCATTTGTATAATGCATTCATGTGTGCATATCCATGAGCATTTTTCATAGATGCAAGTGCAAGCTACTTAGCATTTCTGGTTTGTGAACTATCCTTGCAAATCCACATTCATTCACAGGGTATTTCCCCTTAGTCTTGCTCTTTTTCTGCCAAAATGTAGGAAACTGTTAAGCAACATTCCCCTCACCCCTCCTTCCCTCATCCACTTGACGAACAGACCGAAGCAGAGAGCTGTGTTATGTCATGCAATATGCCTCGTAGTGGCTGGGATATTTCACCGCCTGCCTGACCATCGTGTCAGTGATTGTGTCGCCGCACTCAGTCATTGTTAGCGACCGGAGAATTGGGGTGTGAATTGTTTTCTAACCGCTGAGTCAAAGGCTACTTAGTGTATGTAAACATAATCATTTGAATTCACAGTGAGATTTGCTTTAAGCCCCTGTCACACTGTCCCGAAGTTGACACCCGATGGACACACGAATATGGAATTGGGTGTCAATTTCGGGACAGTGTGACAGGGGCTTTAGGGGGAAGCTGATGTCTTTTTCTTCTGCCGTGTAGGCAACTTTGATGGAGAGGCTGCCAGTTGTGGAACTGTGGTGGACGACGATGTAATTAGTGAAACGGTCTATCTCTCCTGGTTTGGTAATTGCTTACAAACCTTCAGGCTGTTTGAACAAAGGAAGCTTATTATTCAACTTTTGAGCAGGCTGCACCCATTATCTTAAAGACATTATATTCGGAGGTGGGGAGGCCATTCTCCTTGGGAAGTAAACCGTGAAATAATAAGGTGGGACCGCCTGTTGCCTGCTTATTTAACCTGAAAAGGCCAAAGCATGTAAACTCAATCCCAGAGAAATGTCAATGTGTTCAGAGAAGCATGCCCTTACTTAAGAATGGGTGATGCCATGTTTCATGAAAATGTAATTAAGTGAGTTCTTTATCTGGAAACATGCCTCAAGCTGCTCGTGGTATGCAAGTGATACATTAGCACATGAGGACGCAGTATGGCAGCATACTCTCATGCTAGTTTATTTATATCGTCGATGTTCCAACTTGTTTTTTTGCTCATTTATTATCCATCTGGAGCCAAAATAGATGTAAAAAGCCTGATGCTGATGTGTTGTTATATGTCTCTTCATGGCAAGCTCTCTCTTTCTTGGAAGGTTGAAACTTTAAGTTGACAATAAACACTTTTAATGTTCTGCTTTTACATAGAGCCTAATTGATGCAGTTATACTGGAATATCAAGATTTTCTGTCAGCACAAAATGTAACAAATGGTTGTTTACCTGGATTTTCAGGAGAGGCCCTGAAGTAATAACTATATTCAATAATAATGACTTTTAAAGGTCTGCCAGTAATTAAAGGCAGCCTTTGGGTTTTTTAGGTATTCTGCTACATTATTAGCCTACATCACATTTCTTTGTTTGCAGTGGATCACATCAGTCCGGTTCTGAAGTCTTTACACTGGCTTCCAGTCGACCAAAGAATTCATTTTAAAATACTATTGCTAGTTTTTAAATCACTAAATGGCTTAGGACCGAGGTAGACGATCTCCTGCATAACTATGAAGCATCCAGGAGTCTCAGGTCCTCTGGGTCGGGTCTGCTCTCTGTTCCGAGAATAAGAACTAAACATGGAATAGCAGCGTTTAGCCGAATCGTGCACGTCCGCCGAAACACTTCCTATTTTCAAATCCAGACTAAAAACATATCTATTTGCCGCTGCTTTTAATTGAGCTGTTCATACTCACACTGCAGTATGCCTTTCATTCATGTGTTCTGTACCTGCTGTGTTTATTTATTTATTTCATTATCTTTGCTTTTCTATGCCTGTTTTTAAATGCCATTTAATAATGTGTTTATGCTGTATTTATTCTTAAATGTCTTTTGTTTTTATTTTGTAAAGCACTTTGAATTGTCGCGTGCTGAAAGGTGCTATATAAATACAATTGCCTTGCCTTGGTGCAGGTAGGTTTTTCATAAAGACCCATTAGGAGTCAGTTATCTAGCTAGCGTTGCCCATCAGCTTGGCTAATCACCAGATGCTGAGATGCTAGTTTGTAGATTAAATGTGATTACATAAATCAGCAGAGCAGGTATGCTGTCAGCTGCCTTCATTACAGTTAGCTTGATTAAACTCTATTTTTACACTAATATTTGCATTTTCTGTAAGTGCTACATAGATGTATGCTTCTGTTTAATGTTTATCGGCACACTGGATAGCCAATGTCTTATTTTCACTTTCCATCGTAATTCTCTTGTACTGTTGTCTTGCTCAGCAGCATACCGACAATAAAGCGTGTTGTTCTTGTTATCTTACTTGTTAAGACATTCATAAAATAAAACCAAACAAACTTTACAATAACAATAAACAGAAAGGCCTACATCTTATTATTCTGAACCATCCATAAAATAACAAATCCTCTTGTTAGAAATAACATTGTTTTGGTAACAGCTTGTAGATTGTCTTTGCTTTGGATGGGGCAGTAGTGGGTTGGGTTATGGCTTTCAAGCCCAGGGAAGCAACAAAAACATCAACCGGGCGACTGTGGCTGCGAGGGATTGCGGTCGTCTTTCAACCAGAAGGTTGTGGGTTCGATCCCAGCCCGTGCAGTCAACATGTCGATGTATCCTTGGGCAAGATACTTAACCCTGAGTTGCTCCCGATGGCATGGCCAACGGTGTGTGAATGTGTGTGAATGTTAGGTCCTAGAGCAAGTGGTACTGCTCTGTATGAATGGGTGTGAATGGGTGAATGACATGTAGTATGTAAAGCGCTTTGAGGTGTCGTAAAGACTGGATAAAGCGCTATATAAGTACAGTCCATTTACCATTTACCATAAGACCAATAAACAAAAGAACACTAAAGCTGAACAAGCGAAACACAAATCCCATACTAAAAAACGACTTTTACATAACAGTCAGCACTGATTAACTCAAAAGAGCTGAAAGAAGTGACACACACGTACTATTACAAAATGGTGGTTATAAATAAGTCACTATTATTTGCTAAACTGCCAAAGGCATGCTGGGGCAGCTCTTTCTCTGCTTGTGTTAGCCTTTGCACCCAAATGTTCACTTCACTAGCGCTAGGGGATGCAACTATGGTGCGGGCATGGCTGATGTATTACAAATCTCAATACTGGAGACCGAGCCATCGAACCATTCACAACAGGCAGGTTTTGCATGGCGAGTGCACAAGCAGCAACTAAGTCCAAGAGAATACTCATTGAGTATTGAGGTAAACAATTCTTTTTTTTTTAATTCGTGCATCATTACATCTGCAAGATTTAATGTAAAGAAAACAGAGCTCTAAATTAGCACAATAACTATCTATTGTTGGACAATTGATTTTCCCAGAAATCATTTTGATGAAATATATTATAGTCATTTTGAGTCCATGCGATACCACTTATACACTGAACAAAAATATAAACGCAACACTTTTGTTTTTGCTCCCATTTTTCATGAGATGAACTCAAAGATCTAAAACATTTTCTATATACACAAAATAACCATTTATCTCAAATATTGTTCACAAATCTGAAAACATCTGTGATAGTGAGCACTTCTCCTTTGCCGAGATAATCCATCCCACCTCACAGGTGTGGCATATCAAGATGCTGATTAGACAGCATGATTATTGCACAGGTGTGCCTTAGGCTGGCCACAATAAAAGGCCACTCTGAAACGTGCATTTTTGCTTTACTGGGGGAGTCTGGGGGGGTCCGAAAACCAGTCAGTATCTGGTGTGAGGGGTAGGGTTAGGGTTAGGGTTAGGGTAATGTTGTGAATCGAGTGGCCCATGGTGGTGGTGAGGTTATGGTATGGGCAGGCGTATGTTATGGACGACGAACACAGGCCACTCGATGCACAACATTACCCTAACCCTACCCCTAACCCTACATTTTTTCAGATTTGTGAACAATATTTGAGAGAAATGGTTATTTTGTGTATATAGAAAATGTTTTAGATCTTTGAGTTCATCTCATGAAAAATGGGAGCAAAAACAAAAGTGTTGCGTTTATATTTTTGTTCAGGGTATAATAAGTATATATTTTAAATTAGTACATTATTTTAAAGAGCAATATACTTCAACTTCTTAGAAACATTTAGATATTGGAATTTGGAATTGGTAAAAGACCGCACAATCAAAACAATAACTAAAATGGACTCAATATGCAATGCCTAAGTTATATCATGCTAAAATCCCTGCTGTCACTCTGGCGTGATGCTGGCAAAATGTTGTTGACATTCGTATGTCAACAAGCAATCACGTAAACACCACGGGCAATATCGAAGTCAGCAACAATTATGAAAAGGCATATCCATATGTTGTTCAACAAGTCGTTAATGTCATTATTTTTGACAGGTCTAATGTCAAGATTTGGCCGTGAATCACCAAGCACAACTAAATACTTGGATGAGCCTGAATCAATTGATAAGCAGTGGAAGTGAAAATGATCTGAAAGCTGTTTACCTGGTCAAGGAGTTGGTTGTAGAGTTCATGACAGTTATCAAAAATGTATTTGTATGTAGAGTCCAGACACGCCTTCACACAGTCCTTCACCACCATGCTGGCTCTGGGCGGACTCTGGAGCTCTTGAACCTGCACACACACACACGAGCAAATACACACACATGATTTAAATGTTTTTCAGTATCAAAGCAGATGATATTAAAATGACCCAGTAACTATAGATGATGTATGCAACCCATATCAATGACATTTACTGTCTTGAATTAATTTGTATGTTGTTCCATCAGTGAAGTGATAAAGTAATTATATCAGATTACACGTATGTGAAACATTATGGCTTCCTTGTGGAAAAAGGGCAACCTTCTTACATCCATTCTGTATATCATAATTGACATGTGGCCAGACATTTAGGTGTGTGAGCAGCTGTGCGTATACACGGTGAAGTTCAGCATGGCAGAGAGTGAAAGCATTGGTAACCTAAAGTGACAGATTTCATTCCTTTGCTCATAGCTGCCATCTTAGCTATGCCTCGGTGAACTAGCACTAGAGAGCTGAATAGAGCCAAGCTCTTCCTATAGCAGTCAAGACGTAGTGTTGGGGGAGAGGGAGAGGGGCAGGAAACAGGAGAGCTGGAAGTGTTATGAACCAATAGGCTTCCAGCAGTATGCAGGTCAACACACATTACACAACCATGACCCCGCCAGCCTGAAGTCAAGAAATTGTGCAGCAATAAATCATTTGGGTTTGAATGGTCACTGGTGTTAGGAGGGACAGGTTTCCAGGAATTATGATTTGGAATCGATTTGGTCTAAATGAAAGGTGCCTAAAATCAATCAGAGTTTATGTTTATGACTTCATTCTGTCAGATTTTACAGCCATGAAGAGGGCTGAAAGTGCCGTTTTCGCTTATTCAGGGTACGAGGCATTTCTGTGATAAAACATTACATCTTCAAAGATTCTATTTTTTGAGTGGTGTGCTCCATCATTATTAATGATATTGTTTATGTTTCTTTCCATTTCTCTCTGCCTACACACGCTTTCCTACACACAGCTACCTTCATCCTGAAGAAGGTGATGCTGGTCAGCAGATCAACAGTGGACTTCAGATCTTGGAGACGCTCTGGGTTTCCTGCAGGGAAATTATCCTGTAGTGAGAAAAAAGAAAAAGGAAATCAACACGAGGAGACATCTCGTTGAAAGCAGCCTTTTAACGTCACAAACCCCTTCACCCAACACATCACAGCGCTTAGCCCAAAACATTGAAATTGATTAGAGTGCAACTCCCAGTAATCACACCGAAATGACTGTCGGTCTAATCGTTTAGTGGACAAGGGAGGTCTCTGCTGATGAAATCCTCTATTTCGGGGCCATGAAGTCATCAAGCAGTGCAGAGCGGCGTGACGGGAGCGCATAAAGCTCTGACGTCCTGGATGGCCTCGCCGCCACATACATTATCCTACTTCTCCTTCTTTCTCATTGCTCAAATACATTTTTTACTCGTTGTCTACTACTCCTCTACCTTGTCAATAAATGCACAAAAGAGATTTAGGAAATAGAGCCGGATTCAGCAGCCTCAAGGCTTGACAGCACAGAAAAAAGGTCTATCCGACATCACGGCTGATCAGCAGAAACAACACTCGCCTGACATCGTTTGGACGTGAGCAGCATCTTACTGAGTTGATAAATGATTCAAGCTGACCACTTTACAAAGAAGTGGAGTTTTGAATAATAATTGCTCAACACAACCTGGACAGTGGTCTTAAAAAGAGCCAATGGAGGGGAAAACATGTGGATGGAATGTTAATGAACATGGAAGAGAGATGGAGGCAGACCACGTTTATTGCTATGAACGTGTTCAGTGGCGCATGAAGCCAAAATGGACAGACTGTGGAGAATATATTTAATCGGATCTTCCGGTTATCTTCTGCATCTATGGACCCAGAGAGCAACATCGCTAGCATTTCCTTTATGTATTGCATGTCTAAAAACATATATTTGCGCCCTCACGCAATGGGCCTGGAAGTAGAAATTCTACTTTTGGTCACATAAAGTGTCTAGTGCCTCTACAAAGGACTTTTTAAATCTTTATCTACTTACAGTACATCTCTCTAAAGCCATGACTAATGGGAACAGTCTAGTTTAGAGGTGAAAGAGTAGAGTAGTTCCCAAAGATTAACAGCCTCCAGGAAAACAACATTGACACACATTCTGCACAGACAAATGTGGAACAGTACCCGTTTTGTTTTCTTGCTTCTCTTTTAAATCATTGTGTGTGTGGCGTGTGGTGCAGTAGGTTGTGTGTAGGTGTTGGGAGCAGGGGAGCACAGGTTCAAACCCCACTGCAGTCAGCATGTCGTTGTGTCCCTGGGCAAGACACTTCACCCCAAATTGCTCCTTAGGGGATTGCCCACAGTATTGAGTATGTGAGTTGCTTTGGATAAAAGCGTCTAACAAGTGACATGTGATGTGATATTAACAATAAAGTTGTTTGGGTATTTCATCATTCGCTGAAAGATTTTGAAATGTGATTTACGAAGCTTGAGTGTCCTTTGTCATCCACTCAACAGCAGACTCCTCTGGGTAAAATACATCTTAAATTACAAGCAGAGAGAAAATGATTTTCTTGCAGCAGTCTTATTCACACAATGGGAGTTCCATCACTCACCTCCCTTTCTCTCTTTTCTGACACTGCACTTTCTCTCACAATAACCGCACATACATGCAGCCTTCAGACAAAAGTGAAACCATCAGTCCCTTTGAAACATTGATTTTGTAGCTTCCCCCTGCAACCTTGAATGTTGCCTGAAATCACTCTGCTGGAACATGTGTTTAATCTGTTTCTGTGTAGGAACTGTCACTTTGAAACAACTAAAGGAGGCCATTTGAGTTTTGTCCAAGAGACTGACATGTAACCCACTAAGGCTTCTTTTTTGTCCAAGTAATGTCACACACATCTTTGCTTCCTTGCATTTCCAATAGAGGCATTAACACCTTTATCTATAGGAGAAAAATCACCATTGAAAGAGCTGAAATTGCACATAAAACTGTGCAATTTCACTGCTGCTATTCTGCTTTACAGAGATAGTTGAAGACTGGTCCATTAAGTCTACTTTGTCTTTAAATGAGAGGATTAATTTGAGTTGCACATATAATACAATCTTATTTTAAAGCTGTCTATTTAAAAAGGAAATAAATGATTCACAGTGTAGAGTTTGAAATCTGTTAATTAGTGCATTTTGACATCAAAAGGTTATGTAGCTGTGTAATTATGATGATTGAAGTAAAGTAAAGTTAAGTGCTCATTGACGCTTATGTATGCTGCAAAGGAGGTAGGTGGGTTTTTCACACACCAAAAATTACTTCATACATAATATTATGGTCCCAGCATTCAATCTAATTTGATATTTGACATCCCATTTTGATTGCAGATGGCAGGGGTGAATGAGAGTGTATTCATATTTGACTAAATCTGTGTTAAGGGAGGAAGGAAATGTCATCTAAATTATAATCAAAGCTTCAGGGAACCAAGTTATGGAAGTGTAAATAGCTTAAAAACAGCATGTACAGTACTTCTTTTGATTCTGGAAAGCATTACTTACTTTGGAGAAAAAACTGAACTTAATAAAGCTTCACACTGTTCCTCATATTAAAACAGTTAATCCAGTGCCAGGCTTTACAATACACAAAACACTTACATCTGCAAACACTGTTTATTAACGCAGGGACAGTGGTGTGAATACCTTTGTATTCTTCCAACCGATGAATACAAATACACCAGAAATTAGGAACTTCATCAGCAGAAAAACTAGGAACAAGCTAAACAGATTTGTTCGCCGAGAGCAGTCAAGCATACTGAAAACAAAAGGCATCCATCTCTGAGCTGAAAGTAAAGACAACATCAGCACTGCCTTCAAAAGATGACAGAAAGTCCATTATGAGACGAGACAAGGAGTGAGTAACGCTGATGAGATTTGAGTTCTTTGTCTTTGTTCTCGCTTACTTTGAAAACTATGGTGTGGTCGTTCACTGAGAACAAAACACAAAAGCAGTGACACTGTACAACTCCATAATTATGTAAGAATATCATTGTTTTTTAAACCTTTTTACAGAGGCAGCATAATGGCTTTATCAAAGGATTTGCTGGTCAAACACCATGCAGCAAGTGGAGCTCGTGCAGGAAATCATGTGGAAGGAGAGATCAAACGCAGTCATGCTCACTGGACCTCCAACTGCCACAGGAACACTGCACTGTCACCCTGCACTCTGCCATGCATCATGCCTCATGGCCTAAGACATATGCTAATGTGTTTGGATTTTGAATCAAAATGCAGGTTATATCAATGAATTAGTAACATTTTAATTAAATAACCCAATATGACAAATGACACATTTATCTCAGGGTGATGTACAATGTGTGAAGCATACGTGTCTCCCAGAGAAACAGCACAATTAATGGTGAAAAATGATTTATAATGTAAACTTATTGGGTATTATTCTGACATTACGGGGCATATCTTTAAGCTCCATTCAAAGTGGTTCAGGTTGGAATTGATTGAAACATCATATAATGCAGAAAGTAGTAGTTTGAAATGCATGTATTAATATAACAATCTGCATTGAACAATGAATACCTGATTTACTGTAATTGTAGGAGCAGAACTTCACATATTTGTGACTTTTTCTTTCCCTTTCATGATTAGTTTCTTCCTCCATCAGAGCTGGAGGTGTCTTATCGTCTGCTCTCTGTGAACGGTGATACTCGCTTGTCTCTTACACTTGGCTTTTTACATCGTCTGTCATACATTTCAAAGGGTACACTTTGGAATGATGCAGGTGTTTCTCTGCAGAGAAAAAGAAGATTAGCCAACAACTGTGGAGATGCAGCTTTGTTCTAAAAAAAAAAGCAAAAGGATACGCTTTTCTGGCATTTGAGGATGACAGTCTGGTTGTATACCTATAGCAACCCTTGATATGTATAAGGGAATCTTGCTATAGAGCAACCTAGTTGAGATGATCCTAGAAGTATAATGTTGGTTCTTTATCAGCTCCATTAACAGCTCAATGTAACTTAATATGACACGATACTGCCTTGGAGAGCTAGAGCTATGGCATGGAACACATTTTGATTTGTATTGCAGAGGCAGCAGGAACTACTGCACCATAAAGCAACAAAGCAGGTTTTTGCATTAAGTCACATTTTCTCTAAAGGCACAGCGTAATACTGCACAGAATTTGATTTGTAAGACAATAGAGCACACATCCCAGGGGGTGATAACTGAACCAACATCACTTTATATCAAACTGTCCAAACTAAGCCAATGGCCCAAATCCCTCGCAGCGTGCTCAGAATACTGAGGGGTTTATGTCCGACCTGGAGAAACGTGCAAATCCCATCTGGGACAGACCGGCTATACAAGGTGTCACTGTGTATCAGCGCCACTAGAATAAAGTTTAAAGCAAAGAAATGCATATGTGGCAAAATGTAAAGTGGCAGCTGCACCCCGGTTCCATCTCTGCTGATTCAAGCGCCCTGTTTTACAAAAGCAAACTCAATCTCCCTCTGAATGACATTATAGGGAAATCCATACGGTGAGTAGCCATATCTGAATCTTATTACTGTCGGATAGTGGCAGGACGGCTCTGAGGGATGGCTGTAGAAAGTGGGAGAGAGTATGAACTAAGTAAAGGTTATGAAAAAAGAAATGTGTGTGTGTGTGTGTGTGTCCTAGCATTACTATACTTGTGGGGACCTGAATCTGTTTACAGTCACGTGTGGGGACTCGCCTCCCTTATGGGGACAAATTGGAGGTCCCTATGAGGGGAATCATTAATTTTAGGGTGAAGACTTGGTTAGGTTTAGGGTAAGGGTTAGGGTTAGGGTTAGGCATGTGTTGGTTATGGTTAAGGTTGGGATAAGTCTCCAGGAAATGCATGTAAGTCAATGTAATGTCCCCTGAAGTGATGTATACATGGTATGTGTGTGTGTGTGTGTGTGTGTGTGTGTGTGTGTGTGTGTGTGTGTGTGTGTGTGTGTGTGTGTGTGTGTGTGTGTGTGTGTGTGTGTGTGTGTGTGAAACCACTGGTCTGTGGAAGGCTTGACAAGGCTGAGCAGCAGGGCAGCGGTGCTGGCAGGTGAAGCCAGACAGCCATGCAATCTGAAAATAAAAGAGGCCATCTCTCCTCACTTAACCCTCTCCCACATTCTGTTTCCCACCCACCAGGCTTCCTGTCATCATTAGTGTTTCTCCTCTTCTCTATTCCCAAATAAATCCCTCTTTGCATCCAACTCTCTTCCTATTTGTCCAAATCGCATCTCCTCCAACTCACTGTCTCTGCTGATTTCATCTAACTCTGTTTTGTCCAAATGTATCCCTTCCTCACTATTTGCAACTCCATCTCAGTCTCCCTGAAGTCCTCTCTCTTGTTTCTCTTTCATGCATCACATCTTGTTGCTTTTCTCTCATGCTTTCTTTCTTTGTCTTTGTAGACAGACATCAGACTCTGCTGTCATCAGGGTGTGTCTCTGTGATCACATGTGGCTTCACACAGCAAGCCGGGGCAAAGAACAAGGGGACTAAAGCAATCACCCACTCGCCTTTTGTGTCAAATGAAACGGTGTGAGGGTCATATTTCAGTTACAGTTCACAATAGTAAGCCACCAGCTGGGGAGAGAGGTGTGTGTGTGTGTGTGTGTGTGTGTGTGTGTGTGTGTGTGTGTGTGTGTGTGTGTGTGTGTGTGTGTGTGTGTGTGTGTGTGTGTGTGTGTGTGTGTGTGTGTGTGTGTGTGTGTGTGGCCTAACATTACTATACTTGTGGGGACCTAAATCTGTTTACACAGTCGCGTGTGGGGACTCGCCTCCCTTATGGGGACATAATGGAGGTCCCCATGAGGGGAATCATTACTTTTAGGGTGAAGACTTGGTTAGGTTTAGGGTAAGGGTTAGGCATGTGTTGGTTATGGTTAAGGTTAGGATAAGTCTCCAGGAAATGCATGTAAGTCAATGTAATGTCCCTGAAGTGATGTATACATGGTATGTGTGTGTACGTGTGTGTGTGTGTGTGTGTGTGTGTGTGTGTGTGTGTGTGTGTGTGCGTGCGTGTGTGGTTCAGGTGAATCTTGGATGTCTGCACATTTGGAAAAACGTCTGTGGCTGGTTGTGTGATGACTAATAGGCTTAGCTCTCCTGGGATTGCTCTGGGAGATTATGTACTGTATGTCAGGATTTCAATCTGCCTGAGAAGAATACAGAGAACCCTTTATTGGCCTGGGAGATACATTCCAGTCCTTTCAATTTACCTTTCTTCCAGCGGAGGATATTTGATTCATATGTTTGATTGGCACCTTTTGTCATTTGTTTCAGGTTAGGGAGGGGAACAAAGTGATTTGATTTGACTCTTTTATCTATTCTTATTGCTTTTAATATTGTATTTATTTCAATTGAAGTGAAAATAGGCACGTTTTTGGCTTTAACTTCTCATTATGAAGTGCATCTGGCAGGCACATTGCTTTATAATGATGAAACAGCAGAGATTAGAAGGAGGGACTCACTGTGCATAGCCAAAGAGAGAAAGAGACCCCAAGCTGTTCACAGAAGGGCTTTTTGCAAGAGTAGTTAGCAATTACTTAAGCAGCATGCATGGGAATTATTTATAATATGATATGTGTTAATGTGTTCAATTTTCTTGATAGTCTGAAAATGCAACAAAGTTGTTGCAAAGTAGGATCTGAATGTCTTTGCAACAACTGCGCTAACAATTATATTACTTGGAAAATGTACGTTTGAAGTTGGACAGTTGTCTATTTGCCACTTTAATATAGCTTTTTAGGTATATTATATATTTTGTATACAAAATATAATTATCTTATTTTTATTTGAGTATACTAAAGTCAAGCAGGTACAGTTTGTCTTTCACGGAGCTGACAACAAAAAGTTCGTAGACACAGACACTATGTAGCCTGCTGATGCTTCAAATGGTGACAGTCACCCGTTTACATCAAAGGCGGCTGTACCAGGTCAACCAGAAGATTCTCCATACACAGCAGCGCAGTGGAGCCTGCTAACAGTCCTCGCCTGCTGCTCATCATTCAGTGACAATCACCCAACTCAGCGGGGGATACAACGCCACCACTAAAGTGTATATAGAAGAAGTATTTACCTAGCATGGTTGACAAAATACAAAGACTTAAAACAAATGACTGTACCAAAGATATAACAAACTGTTATATATATGCAAACTGCTTGACAGAGACTTTCACAAAGGTTTGTTGCAGGGCTATTTTATAGAACTGCATTCACTTGTTTATATAACTTTATTATGCAATTTGCCTTTTTTTATGTGGTAAAAGACCCTAATAATTATGTCTAAAAATGATAAACAGCTTCTGGCTATTCTTTGCTTCATTGCAGCAGAAGCTTATAGAGTTTAGCTGTTCCTCCCTCTCTCCACTCCCTCGGTGCACCATCTTGCTTTTGCTGCAGTATGTATGGTCTTGTAGCTAGCAGTTCATGATGGAGCCTATGACTGCAGCATAGCCATCACAATATATAGTATGTCTCTATAAAACAAAGCAGAAGAAAGACACAATAGTCTTTTAATTAATGTAGAACAGGAACAGGATTTCTGTTTTTCATATTGGTTATAGCCAAAAACACATCAATGTGTGTAGGTGCTGTTGGCTACAAATACGAATGTGGAGTACATATCCTAGTTTACAGATGTTTACAAGGTGGCCAATACTCCTAATCCATAAACCAACATAGCATAAAGAGTGCTGGACACTAACAACAGGGGCTATTTATTAGACCTTGAGGATCAGCATTTCCTGAGCTGCTGATGGATCCCTTGACACTGTAGGCTGATCATCGATATTTGTGTGCCTTGCAAAATCACTTTATAGTCATAGATCAATCCATTAATTCAAAACTATAATCAATGGTTTCAGTCATTTTTGGGTTATTCTTGAATAAGAATGTGTAACACGAGGTATGTCTGGGTATTTTTCTGTAATTACTGTTTTTTCAAATCACCCAATTCGCTAATCTTCCTTCATCATCGCAGCTTAAAAGTATTCCAAGCCATATACTAAGCCTATGGTGATAATATTATGAACCCATATGTGAGTCATGTGACATCAAATGTCATTCTTGGTATAAGACCATCACATCTCTTATGACATTTACCTGTTCTTAAACCGGATATTTAGTACTAAAGGCATTTACATGCGTCATGTGTGACTAAATTGTAGAATTGATATAAGGCAAGCATGCATTAAAATGCTCACTGAACTGAGCACAAGAAAGAAAAGGAGATCCAGTCAATAATCACGTTTGGAGGGGGACGGGCACACATTTGGCTTTTAGAACAAATGGTAAATAGATTGCTGCTCCAAGCCAGATATAGTAAGCACACAGTGTGCTGTAAACAGAGTTGAATTAACCTTGAAGCCTATCAAATCAATCCGGTAGCAGACACTTCAGCACTTCTGTCAAAAGTCCAGTCACTTTTAAAGGATGTTAATTATAAATGGCTAAAATGCTAAATGGCTGCCTGGATTTGTACAGCTAAGGTGAATTGCATCTGTGTGTGAAAGATAGGGTTGGTCATGTATTTTAAATACTGTCAGTGTAGTCTCTAAGTCAATTTAAAACATCCAACCTTAAAAAAGTATGATTCTTTTGAATTGACAAAATTCACAGAAACAAACACCATTCCAAACAAACAAGGAGTCCTTACGTACCCGATATTTGGAGAGGTCGATCCTCAGTGAGTTATGCAGCTGGTCCAATAATTTGACAAATTTCTCCCTCTGTCAGGATGAAAAATATCATAATGTAGTCACCACACCTAAAGCACTCTACAGTCTACAGATTGACAACACTGCGTGGTCGGTAGCTTTGCTGTGCTTGCAGTGATTCATTTGTACGTCCTGGAACAAAATGTAGGGGTTTAGCTATATATATATATATTGCCTGACTCGGCTTCCTGCCTGGAAATATTATTTAATGCCTAACAACATTAGCTTATTAAAATTCCAATCTGAAGCACTGGCAAATTGCTGCCCAACTTGCTGTAGACAAATAACTCTAAATGAGAAGGATGATAAAAAGTATTGACGGCAAGAGTTCATTATGAGGCTATAACACAGCAATAGAGGTTACTTAAGTCCAACTGGAGACCACAGAGCTCATATTTTTATTTAGCACTATTTTAGTATACATCACTCTGCAGGCATGTCAGTGGATGTCAGACTAAAAGACAATAATAGGTGCACTTACCCCAAAGTTAGAGGCAGCAAATCGGTCCGATGCGGAGGCAGTGGTTGTGGTGGTGGTGGTGGTGTGGGCGAAGTAAGCGTTGATATTAGCGAGCAGGTTGCTCATCACTGCTGGCACACCGGGACACATGTACTTGGCGGACAGACAGGAGAAGTGCCTGGAGAGGAAAATAAACAGCTATTATTTTTGCATAGTATAAGAGGCATTGAAATAGCCATGTTTGAACCAAATAGGATGGAGGAGTTTGAGACCCAACAATGACACGCTTCCAGAGAGAGAAAAATATAAAGACACGCTCTTCAGTAATCCTCAAAATGCACAAAGCGAAAAGAAAACATAGTTAAAAGTTTTGAAAGAATTCCCATGAAATACATAGCTAATAAATTACCCATACCCCAATTATTTGCTTCACAGTAGGGCTGTACCCGAATATCCGAATAGTCGGTCGTTGGCCTACTATTCGGGTTTCAATTTCGTTATTCGGATATTTGTTTTGTTTTTTAAATAGAATTTATTGAAATCTCCAATATCAACGTAAGAGCTTGTGCCTATTCGGGGGGTGCTAACACTTAACCATAAACGTTATTCTTTACTTTCTCCGCCTTTCTTTTATGTAGATATTACTTTTCTCCGTTAATATCCGCTCCTTTTCTCCGTCACGTTGTTTCTATAGCAACAACAACTTCCTGTCAACAGCGCTAACTCTCCTTCAAAATAAAAGCATGTCCATACAAAATAGGAAGCCAAGCCAAATTACAAAGTTGAGACATATACACAACTGCAACGAAAGTAACACACACAATGCAATATCCTTTTCAATTTCAAAGAACACAAATTGGGTTATTTACATTAACAAATAACTATACAGTAAAACAACAATACTGTAGAATAACAAAATGAATGCCTTGAATAAACCGAAATACACGTGTTGAAGCGCACGCACCGCGCGCCAAATATTCGCTGCTGATTACTACCAACCTCCCCCCGGCCGCACCGAATATCCGAATATTCGCTGCTGATTACTACCGAATTATTATTATTAATATTCGGGAGAGCCCTACTTCACAGTAATAAAAGAAAGTGAATAGACAAACTATAGTAGAATATTTGCTCAACCAATTCCCAATCTGATTGCTAAAGAGAGAACCAACTTTCAATACTCAAATGGTGGAGGAATACTTCATAAGTAGTTCACTGCCCTATTCATGTAGTAAAGAGGGGCCTGAAATGACTATCAAGAGCAAATGAAGCTATACATCAGCTGTATAACCTATACTATTAAGGACATAAGGCTGCAAAGTAAAATATGGAGCAAGTAGGTTTGGTAGTAAATCAAGGGACCCTGTGGGGGCTGAGATATAATCACATCCAGCGGAACACAGGAGACGAATGTAAGTTCTGCCAAGAACCGTTTAACTTTTATGTTTGTTTCATTCTGTAACAAATACAACCTAGACAAATGCGAGCAAAGCAAGTGTTTCCCATTGAGGTGAATCCAAACAAACTACATCTCAATAAGGTGCAGTGCACAGAAACATTACACACGAGGCCTTTTACTGCTGAAAACTTGATGTCTAGTTTAGAAGCATCTTATTTCTCCAGCGCCCTTTTAACTCCCCAAACTTTAAACCACACACAATAAAACAAACAGGCACAATTTGCCGCTCCAGATTTGCGATGATCTTTCCTTACACTCGAAGACACACATCTGCATCAGAGCAACACATCAGTAATTAAGCAGTGGAGCCATATGCTACGTTTAACACTTCGTACTGCTTCTTCACAAGCCATGTTGAAAGCCTCCCACATTACAATAAACTGGTACCTACATAGAGAATGGATGCCATCTTCAAACACCACATCAAATGATCATGATGGAATACCCCAAATAAAAATGTATAAGTGCAAAAATCTGTATGTTTGCTTTTATAATGAGCAAAATAAATGCGAGGGCTTCTTTACCAGCCTCCGGTGACCTTTGGCAACCAAACATCTGGATGCTTTTTACAGTAACGATCCCTGAGAGCTTTAAGCCAGCTGGGCTTTATAATAAACCATGTGTAATGCTCATTCTAAAATCTATAGAAACCATTAAAGCCCCTGTCACACTGTCCCGAAATTGACACCCGATGGACACACGATAAAGGAAATGTTCAAATTCGGCTCTGATCGTAACAATTCGCGCCATTCGTGAGGGCATCTTAAGCCATCGTATGACCGTCGGTGGAGTTTCTCAGGCTCCGGCAGCAACTTCGTGAGCGGCAACTTCGTAAGGCACTCGTGAGGGCATCTTGTCGAATCGTGTCATCTTCGTGTTATCATCGGTGCAGCCATTCACCCTCACTCTGATCGGGGCGAATGCCCGATGGCACCGATGATAACAAGATGCCTTCACGATGGCCTTACGAAGGGCAAAATTGACACACGAATTCAACACGAAAATGAACCTTCGCAAGGTCCTTCGGCAATTTTTTGGCATGCCAAAGATTTTGGCACTGCTCACGAAGTCGCTGCCGGAGCCTGAGAAACTCCACCGGCGGTCATACGAAGGCTTAAGATGCCCTCACGAATGGCCCGATGTTGCTACGATCACAGCCGAATTTGAACATTTCCTTTATCGTGCGTCCATCGGGTTGTTTTATTGCACAACAAAATCATGTAAATATATTATGTAAATAACCCAATTTGTGTTCTGTGAAACTGAAAAGGATATAATGTATTATTTTGAAGGAGAGTTGACAGGAAGTTATTGTTGCTATGGAAACAACATTACGGAGAAAAAACGTAATATCTTCTACATATAACGACGGATAAAGTAAAGAACAAAGTCTGAAGATATCAGTACAGTATCATAGTACTGTAACATAATTGTTTGTGTTACTTTCGTTGCAGTTGTACGTCTTAAATGTAATGTAAATGTTGCCTTCGTGTGTGGTTCGGGGCCATCTTCGTGCGAAATTCACAATTCAATATTCGTGTGTCCATCGGGTGTACATTTCGGGACAGTGTGACAGGGGCTCAACCAAACACAATAACCTTCACATTGCCTGCATTTCTCTTAGTGTTGCTTTATAATGATAAAAGGACATTTATTTTGATAATAATATTATTAGTTGCCAATACACAGTCTTTCTTTATAATTCAATGGTAATTGTTCATTACTGACTGCTGCCTAATATCTCATGTTTACTTTTTAAATGCTGCTTTTTATTGTTTTACTATGGATGAGTGCTTACTTGTTTCATTAATGTGTGCTTGATTCTCAAATATGTTAGTCCACTCTTCACATGTTTGCCTTTTATCTGCACTGTCCACTTTGCGTTTACACATTTAAATACCCCGCTGTTGGACAAATAAAATATTTCTGATCAATCAAGCAGTTTCAGTTCAAATGTGTGCACAACATATTTATATTTAGTTTACTCAGTGTTTTACTGTCATTATTTGTATTCATAGTTATATTTGTTGTGTCTTTGCTTGGTCTTGAAATCGGCCTGGTACCTCTCCTGTTTTTTTCACATTGTACAGTAGGTGTTGCTATTACACTTCAATTCCCTTCTGGGGATTAATCAAGGTGTAGCTTATCTTATCTTTCCATAAATATCTATTTATATATCAAGTTAGAAGTGACCATAAGTATCGTAAAGCTGGATGTTGAGCCTGGAGCACAGATATTTGAAACTAGAAACATCCTGCAAAGTGAGCTATTGCTTCATAAAGCCAAAGTGTTAGAGAAGGGCCAGGCACAGCGTTATGTGGAGTAATGATTACAGATTTACCACCCTCCAAAAGTGCAGCCCCACACACACACACACACACACACACACACACACACACACACACACACACAAACATGTTCTCATAGGGAGGCCTATTTAATTACTTTGCTTTCAGCCTCCAAATTACCCAGGAGCACTTGGGGTTAGGGGAGCTAAGAGAGTGATGCATGGAGAGTGATGATGGCATCCGCTGAATTCCCATGGTGCTTTTAGAGGTGGATCTCCTGAGCTCAAGAGGAAGGCGTTCCTTCTCCTCGTGTTACCTTTCCTGGGTTTTCACCAGCGGCTGAGACACACTGCGCACACACTCACATATCATTTTACTCTCTCGGATGGTTAGGAGAAATGAGAAAAAGATGATGAGAAACAGAGGGGTTAGTGGTAGGGAGTGGTGATAGAGTGTGATGAAGAACAACGAAAGTGAGGGAGGGTGTGTGTTGAGGCACAGGAGGGACAGTGGAGTTTTCACAGCCGCGGTGATTTATGCAGCCATCAAGACAAGAGTGACTGGGAGTCAAAGCTCTGTGATGAAGAAAAAGGAAAGGTAGAGCCGTTCATAAATTCCTGATGAAGCATAATAAGCGCTGATATGAGAAACGCAGAGCTTTAACAAGAATCAAGCCTGAAGCATCACCTGGAGCTGAGAAACTGCTCATAAAGCCTCTGACTGCTTCACTTGTCTGCACTTAAAGAAGCCTGCAATCACTCATACAGTATGCTGCAATACCTTGTCACATTGACACAACTGTAACCTAGCAACAGTTAGCAGCACCAAAGTAATCCAACACTTATATATAAAACCTTATGTGTTGTTATAGCAGCAGTTCCACACCTTACTTATACAGTATTGACATCATGGATAATAATAATAGGGGGGGTTTTGAAAGAGCTAAATCTAGCTTCACATGGTGCAACAAAAACACATGTTTGCCCTTCAGAGCCGGTAGGAAGATAAAGCAGGGAGCTACTGTGGGATGTATGAGGTTGAGTCATGTTCACTGTGATCAGAAAAGTGGGAGAGAAGAGGGG